ACGGACTACTGCCCGTCAATGGACTTTCATCGGTCTTCTGCCCGACGCAGTACTTTTACCCGACGTCAAACTTCTGTCTGCCGTCGTACTACTCTGTCGACGGACTACTGCTCGTCGATGGACTTTCATCGGTCTTCTACGTCACGTCAGACTTTTGTCTGCCGTCGTACTACTACCTATCGACAGACTACTGCTCGTCAATGGACTTTCGTCGATCTTCTACCCGACGTTGGACTTCTGTCTGCCGTCGGACTACTACCTGTCAACGGACTACTGCCCGTCGATGGACTTTCGTCGGTCTTCTACCCGACTCAGTGCTTCTACTCGACGTCGGACTTCTGCCTGCCGTCGGACTACTACTTGTCCACGGACTACTGCCCGTAGATGGACTTTCATCGGTCTTCTACCCGACGTCAGACTTCTGTCTGCCATCGTACTACTACATGTCGACGGACTACTGCATGTCAATGGACTTTTGTCGATCTTCTACCCGATGTCGAACTTCTGCTTGTTGTCGGACTACTACTTGTCGACGAACTACTGCCCGTCGATGGACTTTCATCGGTCTTCTACTCGACTCAGTGCTTCTACCCAACGCCAGACTTCTTCCTACCGTCGGACTAATAGCTGTCGTCGGACTTCTGCCCATCAATGGACTTTCGTCGGTCTTCTGTCCGACGTTGTACTTCTACCCAACGCCGTACTTCTACTCGACGTTGAACTACCAGCCGTCGTCGGACTTCTGCCCGTAGATGGACTTTCGTCAGTCTTCTGCCCGACGTTGTACTTATACCCAGCGTCGTACTTTTTCTCGACGTCGGACTACTACCCGTCGTGAGACTTTTATCCGTCGATGAACTTTTGTCGGTCTTCTGCCCGACGCTGTACTTCTACCCGACGTTGGAGTTCTATCTACCGTCAGACTACAACCAGTCGTCAATTTTCTGCATGTCAATAAGATTTCGTTGGTAGTTCTACCCGATGTCGTATACCTACACAACAACAGACTTATACCCATTGCGGGACTTTTGTCAGTCTTTTACCCGACGTTGTATCTCAACCCGACGACGAACTTTCGTCGGTCTTCTACCCGACTCAATGTTTCTACCCGACGACAGGCTTCTGCCCTTGCTCCTTTGTCAGGCCTCCGCCCACCGTCAGGCGGGACGACATAATTTCCCCTGACCGCACTCGAAGGAAAGTGGTCGCCCGACATTACTTCAGTATTGGGAGGGGCCCTGCTGTTGGACAATGGATACCAATTGACCAAGGGCGAGGGAAAGCCTCCCGTATAGCAAGAGCACCAAAGGGAGAGGAAGAATACTATTTCTCGCAAAGAGGGGCCATGTTGTTGGACAATGAATACCAACTGTCCAAGGGGCAAAGAAGGTCTCTAATGAGAGAAGAGAGGAGGTGCAAAGGTTTCATAGCCCATAGAGGGGTGTTTATAGCAAGTGGGAGCAATTAAAAAAAATGATGAATTACGACGGGCGGTTTTGCCAAACCGCCCACCTCCGGTGGTTTGAATGAAAACCGCAAATGCGGTTAACCAAACCGCCTAAGACTGCTTTAAAAAAAATCAAAATAGTTGCGTCCGGTTATCAAAACCGGTTGGACAGAGCCCGCACTCCGTCCACGGCCAATATTGATTATTTTCCAAAGCTTGTCTATGGAAATATCTTGGCAAATGACACTTGCATTGAGGAATGAGCACCTTGCTAGATATTCGTGATTCTTCTGAGATGGGAATCACATGTTCACAAAATCCAACATTTTCCAAGCATGCTTGAGCTTTTTCACTTTTCCAAATTTTTTTCATATTATTAGTTGTTGTCCATAAGCTGCTCCTTAAAACTAATGCTCAATATAAATATTAAAAAACCCAGCTGTAACAACTGTAATACGAATGAATTTATATGGTCTCCTTCTCATCCTTTTGGAGCTATTCAAGACCTCAACTCCGAGTTCGGGTTATTTTACAGTTTCAAATCGAATAAAAAATTTCTCAAAAGCTGTGACACAAGTATTTTCGGACTCCTGGAGCTTCGACGTCCGAAAATAGGGGGCAACTGATACGTCGTCAAAAAATTATCTTAATTGGGCACGAATCTCGATGCAAAATCAAATTGGAAACTTCAAAAATTAATTCGGAGACCATCCGAACTCCGATTTCAGCAAACTTACAGTCGAACTGAGCGTCTCGGAAATACGAACCCAACGACACCAAATTCAACTCGATCCAAGCCCAAATGGGTCCGAATCATGGGCCCTAAGCGCTGTTGGAAGGTTCAAACCGTAATTTGAGATACCAAACGGTCTCCGATTTTAACGAACTTATACTCGAATCGAACGACTCGACGAGATGAATCCAACGAGCACAAGATCGCCGAATTCCGACATCACTAATACCTTCAAATGTCCAACGAACGGTGCACGATCGTAGGATTCGATATCGGCCATCCATTCGACCACTCCCTATTCGCCCCTGATCTCATGCCTATTTACAAGCTATGCCACTCCAGAAAATCTATAAATAGAGCCCTCATTCTTCATAAGAGAGGAGGGAAGCAAGAAGGGAAGAGAAGAAGAGAAGAGGAGAAGAGAAGGAAGAGAAGGAAGAAGCTCCTCCTCGACCACCGACGGAACCTCGCCGGACCACCATAGGAGCTCGTCGGACCACCACCGGAACCTTGTCGGACCACCACCAGAGCTCGCCGGACCACCGCCAGAACCTCGTCGGACCACCACCGAAGCTTGCCGGACCACCGCCGGAGCTTCGTTGCACCACCTCCTAAAGGCTCGACGTCTGGCCCGAAATTCTGGCCCGACATTCTGGCCCGACGTTCTGCTGAAGGCCCGACGCTCTGCTCAAGGAATAATTATTACGTCCTCTGACCTAATGTAGAGGTACGTTCGGCCGCCAATAACATGTCGCCACGTGCTCTTACTCTTTACTGCGCGGCCCGACGATTCGACCCGGAGCGGAACCCGGGAATGCTATGTTCGCGATTTTCTCGGTATTGCTTGGTATTTGCTCTGTATTTCTTTGAAAAAATGAGAAATACCGCTATGTAAAGACCAAAACTATACAAATACCGAGTTGTACCGAGTTTTTCTACAACTCGGTACAACTCGGTACAACTCAGGATTTGCTTGGTATTGCTAGGGATTTGCTCGGTATTGCTAGGTATTTGCTCGGTATTGATAGAAAAAATTAGGTACAACTCGGTACAACTCAGTATTTGCTCGGTATTGCTAAGGATTTGCTCAGTATTGCTAGGTATTGCTAGAAAAAACTAGGTACAACTCGGTACAACTCAGTATTTGCTCGGTATTACTAAGGATTTGCTCGGTATTGCTAGGTATTTGCTCGGTATTGCTAGAAAAAACTAGGTACAACTCGGTACAACTCAGTTTTTGCTCAGGATTTGCTCGGTATTGCTAGGGATTTGCTTGGTATTGCTAGGTATTTGCTCGGTATTGCTAGAAAAAACTAGGTACAACTCGGTATTTGCTAGGTATTTGAAATATATCCAAAAGGTGATGGGATGTTGTTCGGCTTGTAAAGGATTTAAAAAAACGCACGCGCTAGAACCCAAAAAACAGCGGGTCGGGTCGGCGACTTTTCTTCATGCTACGTGTCGCTAAAATATTGGTGGCCGAACGTAGAGGAGCATACGTTCACCGGACCAAATAAAAGTTCCTGCTCAAGGCCCGACATTCTGCTCAAGGCTTGACATTCTCCTAAAGGCCTGACGTTCTGACCCGACATTCTGGCCCAACGTTATGATGAAGGCCCGACGTTCTGCTCAAGGCCTGACATTCTGCTCAAGGCCCGACGTTCTGACCCGACGTTCTGGCCCGACATTCTGGCCCGACGTTCTGATGAAGGGCCGACGCTCTACTTAAGGCCCGACGTTCTGCTCAAGGCCCGGCGCTCTGCTCAAGGCCCAACATTCTGCTCAAGACCCGACGCTCTGCTCAAGGCCCGGCGCTCTGCTCAAGGCCCGACATTCTGCTCAAGGCCTGACGTTCTACCGAAGGCCCAACGTTCTGCTTAAGGCCCAACGTTCTGCTCAAGGCCCGAAGTTCTGTTCAAGGCCAGACTACCAACTAACACTCGAAAGCTACTGGTTGTAATCTGATCGCTCTTGGAGGCGATTTAGTCCTTTATAACCGACTCAAATTCTAGTGGAATCATTTTCAACTGGGCTAGGCCCCGTGGTTTTTCCTCTTTTTAGGGGTTTTCCACATAAAAACTTCGGTGTCTCTTATGAATGCTACACCCTCTCATTTATCTGATTGTGTGCTGGATCTTCGTACAATGCTAAGACATTAAACTATATATTTCTCTACCGCTGCGAATATTCCAGGACGCAACAAACATCATTTTTACATTTGCATTAGCAGCCCATTGACGGATAAAATTTTTTGAGCACAAATCCTGATATATATTATATATATCTTGTTAGGCCCACTCACTAGGAGGCATTAGATACCTCATATATCTTGTTTCCCACAGCAATGCCATATACTTCTCCTCATCCGTTACTGCTCTCTATATACAAATATCAAGTTGGCCCCACAGAGCGAAAAAAACAAAAAAAAGTAGAGAGAGAGAAAAAATCTTGTCAGGCCCATATATATTAAAACCAAGCTGACCAGACAGTTGGCATAAGATCATATTCGACCATCAACATCATTTTTAAATTTGTATTTACAACTCATTTATGGATACAAATTGTTGATCACAGATATATAGCTTGTTTGGCCCACCCCAAAGGAGGCATTAGATACCTCATATAACTTGTTTCCCACTACAAAGTAGACATCATATACTTCTCCTCGTCCATTACTGCTCTCTATATACAAATGTCAAGTTGGATCAATTTGGCTAAAGTTGGCCCCATGGAGCGAAAAAAAAACAAAAAAAAGTAGAGAGAGAAAAAAAATCTTGTTAGGCCCACTCCAAAGAAGATATCAGATTAGCTCTTGTGACAAAAATCACCATATATATTAAAAACCTGTTATATGAGATCAAAGCTAATCAGCAGTTGGCATAAGATCATATTCGACAATCAACATCGTTTTTAAATTTGTATTTAAAAAATTGTTGATCACATATACTCATATATATCTTGTTTGGCCCAAAAAAAAAAAAAAATCTTATTTCCCACTGCAAAGCAGACATCATATACTTTCTCCTCCTCCTTTACTGCACTCTACATACAGATATCAAATTGGATCAAGTCGGCTAAAGTATGCCTCTCGAAATCCCTATCCTAATTGGAGGGGCTGCTAATGCAATGGATGCCTTGTTCTCAACCTTCTTATTGTCCACCTCCAGCACCGGTCTCCTCTCCGGTAGGAACAAGACCTTGATTTACCCGATGAAGCCATTTGCTCCAACACCAGCATCGCCCGTTATTTCGGACGTCGAGACAAAAGAGAAGCCAGAACGTTCGATGAGGACCAAGGGCGGCTCTGCTGATAGAAGTAGCATCCAAGGATCATCGTCTCCGATGCAAATGCCTCAGACGAAGCCTCAATATCTAAGTCCGCGTACTCGCTCCCGGGAGCCATCAGCAGCAGCTGCCTTGTGCATCGCACTGGACGAACTCATCAACAATTTCATCGACCCACCACACCTCCGCTCTTCCGTCGACCCACGCCACGTCCTCTCCAACAACTGGGCTCCAGTCAATGAGCTGCCACCGACACCATGCCCTGTAATTCGCGGCACTATCCCCGCCTGCCTCCGAGGCGGCGCCTACATTCGCAATGGGCCCAACCCACAGTATCTGCCGCGCGGACCCCACCACCTATTCGACGGCGACGGCATGCTCAACGCCCTCCTACTCCCCCGCGACGGCGACGGCGACGGCGAGGCTCCCGCCACCCTCTGCTCCCGCTATGTCCGCACCTATAAGTACCTCCTCGAGCGCGATGCCGGCGGACCCGTTCTTCCAAACGTCTTCTCCGGTTTCCACGGTGCAGCTGGCATCGCCCGAGGGGCTGTTGCGGCCGCCAGGATTCTCACCGGGCAGATGAACCCGGCGGCGGGCGTCGGCCTCGCTAACACTAGCCTGGCCTTCTTTGGCGGCCGGCTCTATGCCCTGGGCGAGTCCGATCTACCCTACGCCGTCCGAATGTCGCCCGAGGACGGCGATATCACGACCCTTGGCCGATGCGACTTCAAAGGGAAGCTTTCCATGGGAATGACCGCTCACCCAAAGAAAGATCCAGCCACGGGGGAGCTCTTCGCCTTCCGATACGGGCCGGTGCCGCCCTTCCTGACTTACTTCCGCTTCGACGCAGAGGGGAAGTACAAGACGGGGGAGGACGTGCCCATCTTTTCGCTGGCGCAGCCTTCCATGGTGCACGATTTTGCCATCACGGAGCGGTTCGCCATATTCCCCGACATTCAGATCGTGATGAAGCCGATGGATATGGTGGCGCCGGGTGGAGGATCGCCTGTTGGGTCGGAACGGGGAAAGGTTCCCCGGCTTGGAATTCTGCCAAAGTATGCCCGGTCGGATGCTGAGATGAGGTGGTTCGAGGTGCCCGGGTTCAACCTGATGCACGCCTTGAACGCGTGGGAGGAGGGTGAGGACACCATAGTACTGGTGGCGCCTAACGTGCTGTCGATAGAACACGCGCTGGGGAGGATGGAGTTGGTTCACAGTAGTGTCGAGATGGTGCGCATCGAGTTGCGGAGCGGGGCTATCTCGAGGACGCCTCTTTCCGCCGAGAACTTAGACTTCGGCGTCATCCATCCGGGCTACGTTGGCCGGAAGAACCGATTCGCCTACCTCGGGGTGGGTGATCCCTTGCCTAAGATCTCCGGGGTGAGGAAGCTGGACTTCTCCCTTTGCGGAAGGGGCGACTGCGTTGTTGCGGCTCGGGATTTCGGTCCGGGCTGCTTCGGTGGAGAGCCATTCTTCGTGCCGGCTGGGCCCAGCCGAGGTGAGGAGGAGGACGACGGGTACGTCGTGTTGTACGTGCACAATGAGGATAACAGAGAGTCCAAATTCATTATCATGGACGCACGCTCGCCGCAACTCGACTTGGTTGCGGAGGTTATTCTGCCCAGCCGGGTGCCGTACGGCTTCCACGGTCTCTTTCTCACCCAGGACGAGATAAGGGCGCAGCGACCGCACTAACCAGCCAGTGCGCTTTGGTGAACTCTAAGGGGGCTATTGGTATTGAATTGGAGTTAATTTAGCAGGATTTAATAAATCATGTAAATTTATATAAATTCGGATTTAGTAAATTTTGAAGTTGTTAAATTCTGAAAATTATTTGATACGATAAATGTTACATTTTGAAAAATTGTTTGAAAACAGATCTCAATATTTAAGGCTGTTAGAGATTTGAATATAAAATTAATAACTTAATTTAATTATTAATTATTAATTATCTCATTAACCACTTAAACATCCTACAACTAATTAATTATTTATAATATTAAGTAGATAATAATTATTTGTATTTTAAAATATATTTATTAAATCTTGTATTTATTTTATTAATATTTATTATTATTATATTACTAATTATTCCATTAAACTAAATTAGAGTATTTAATTATACTATTAATCATAATACTAATTATTTATTTAATCTAATTAATTATTGATGCTTAAATTGCACTAAAAAAAGCGAAGTTAGATTAATTTTTGATAAAGCACGTGTAGGTTTTTATTTTTCCATTACTTCGTTATGTTGCGTTTTCTTCGGCTGAGCAAGTATGAGTAATCCATTTCTTCGATGCAAGAAAACAACAATATTTTTTCATAGGGCTGTGAAGGTAACAATATTTCTTCCTTTAGTGTGCTTCTTCCTCTAAATTCAACTCTATAAAATCATAAATCCAACTCTTGATGGGATTTAGATTTATGCGGATTTATGTTGTAAATCTGAAAATCCTGGATTTATGCAAGCTTGAGATTTAAGTAAGCTTGGGATTTATATTTACGCTAATTTACATCATAAATCTGTAAATCACACTTGGCTTAATTGTTACAATGAATACCGGCATAGTTGTAACGATGAATAATGACATCATACTTCATTGTTTAGGATTTAACACTAAAAATTGGCATAGTTGTGACAATGAATAAATGCATCATACTTATATTGTTGCTTGCTTCCCTCAACCTGAGTAACTGAACTTAACATCCGTTGATAGTCTGAGCCAGATCTTTAAATTGTAGTCTTAACAAGAAATATGTGAAGGGCTAAAAATCATTCGTGGTATTTACATGCTTTTTTCTTTTGTAATAAAAGTATTAAATTTTTTTATTAAAAGATGTCGTGGTTTTTCACATGGCTTTAAAAATCGGACCGGACTGGCAAGTTCGACCGGTTTGCTTCAAAACCGGTATTGTATAGAACCGGCTCGGAATCATTCGAACCGCCGAACCATAAAACCGATCCCGGTTTATGATAACCGGCTGGTTCATTTGCAAAAAATTTTGAACCTTTCGCTGAAGATCAAACGGCTCAAGGAAGCTTATACGAAACAGAAGAAATAAAAAACCCTACCATTCATTCGACGGTTCACTTCTTCTTTCCCGATTCTCTTGCTCGTTTGCGAAGCCAAGAGATCCCTTCCAACCAGGAAGTCTTCGGCATCAGTGGCGGCGATGGTTCCTCATCTCGGCCTTATAACCTTCGCCTCTGGCTTCCTTCTCACAGGCCTTTTCCTTCATAAACTCCGAGCTACACTAATCCGCCTCCGATATCTGCTCTCTTCCTCTCACTTCATCGGGACCGAGATTCACTTACCGTAGAAGGTGAGCGCTTTTTTTTTTCAGCCGATTTTCTCTCTCTGCCTGCCGTTTCCCTAGATTTTTAGGTTGTCTAGGTCTTTCGTTTCTTGTCGGACTACTGCTATGCCAAGTTTTGTCTTTCCATTAGTTGAAATAAGCAGCTTTAGGGGCTGTTTGGCAACAAGTGGGATTTAGTAAATCATGTAAATCTGGATTTAGTAAATCCGAAATGTGTTAAATCCTGAAAACTGTTTGATATGCCAAATGTTAAATACTGTTAAATCCGGAGAAACTGTTTGGTAATATATTTCAAGATTTATAGCAGTTAGAAATTTAAATGTGAAGAAGATAATTAGAACTTAAAAATAAATTTATAATTAAAAAAAAATATTATGTGTTATAAATTTAATAATATGTTAAGTACAAATTATCCATTAATTATTATTTATACAATTAACTCTATATTTAATAATAGATATATTAAGTTATATTAATTAATCTAATTATATTAATATTTAATTACTAATTATATAATTAAGTTAAAACAGATAATTAATTTATGCACTAAGTATACAATTAACTATTTAATTAATTTACTTAAATATTAATAATTTAAATTATGTTAATTAAGTTAATCAATAACTTAGAGGCGTCTAGGGTTTGCCTTTCATCTTCTCTTTTCGTCGTTGCTGTTCGGCTCCGTTGCTTTTGCCGGAGGTGTAGAGATTGCAGGCGTCGCTTCCTCGGCTCCTTCGTGGCTGTTCGACCTCGCTCCTGCGACGACTTCAACCCAGATAGGAAGTTACGGCATTTTGATCGGAAGCAAGAACGGGAGCTCGCTGGCTATGAAGGTAACTTTCTCCCTTTCGCGCGTTTCTTCGGATAAATCCGGTCGGATTTACTAAATCCGGCTACCCCTCGGATTTACTAAATCTCGGATTTAAGGTATAAATCTGGGATTTATTGAATCCCGGGATTTAACGCGCGCAAAAAAACTGTTTGGCTGGATTTAGCGTAAATCCAACTTAAATCCCGCTGTAAATCCGATACCAAACTGCCCCCTAGAAAATTTTGATTTTGCACTTTGTTAAAATGTGTTGCTAAATTAATTTTAGAATAGCTTTAGTAATCCCTAGTTTAAAAACCAGCATTATTCTTTCATATTTTTATTGTTTTCATAAGATTTACCTTTCATTCTGAAGTTTGTAAATTTATACTTTGAATTTGTTCCTTTTAGAAACGAAAGGCAGGGGCTAGCCAAAATAATCTAAACGCCAAGTTTTCAATCCTTAATAAGAAAGCTTTTCATTATGATTTTAAACTGCATTATTTTTATTTCTTGTTTGTTAATTCTTGCACATTTGGTTGTTTTCATGTTCAAATGGCTTTCTAGGAGATGACAAAGTTCTGCTAAGAGCGGATTGGAAAATATGCTTAAGTTAATTGAGGTTGATTGACCTAATCAAGGGATTATTGATTAATTTGACATAGAATTGGAATGTAGAGTGGAGGTATTAGAGAAAATTTTTTCATTCATTTTATAAAATTTAATAATATTACTATTTATTACATCATCCGGTTCGACCCCGATTTGACCGGTCGAACCATGAACCACTCTTTCCGGTTCGTTGTCCGGTTCGATTTTCAAAACCTTGATTTTTTTATTAAAAAATCAGATATAGGAAATAAGATTAAATGATTAAACCATGAGTAGTTTAAAAAAGCTGTATGAGTATAACATGGAGATGACTTTGTTTGCAAAAGGCATGGTAAATAAATAAATAAAAAAAGTCAAAAATTGATAACAATAAGATTTAAAGTTTTATACCATAAATTGTAATTGGTACTAGGGGTGTCAATATTTGACAAGACCCGAAAATCTGATCGTAATCCGACACAAAAATTTCAGGTTACGGCCAATTTATTTTATAAACAGATTGGGGTCGAGTTCCAAGATTAGACCCATTTGAAAAAAACGGGTCGGATTTGAGTCAATATGCTAACTTGAAGTTGACTCGAATCAACACGCATAGGTGTACAACAGTCCATCACTATATCCCCGCGTTCTGGTTCGGCGGTTTCGCCCGCAAGCCCTAACCGGTTAACCTCTCATATTTTATTGATTTTCTATTTTCTGTAATTCTAACATGATATTAATGTACATTCGGCTTTATTGGGTGGTGTCAGGTTGACCTGGACTCTAAGCGGATTGGATTTGGGTCTAAAAAATTGACATGCTTTCAAAAAGGGGTCAGGTAAAATAACTCTGGGTTAGACCCAAACTCTACTCGTGACACGCTTTTGGCCGCCATAAAATTAGGTGTGATATATAAATTATATATGTTTAATTTTAGAAAAGTTTGATTTTTTTATTTGTAATTATAAGATAAAACTCTAGCTTGAAATAAAATAATTAAATAGAATCAATTAGTAATGACATCCACGAATTAAAATAAATAAAATAGAAAAGCCTTTAAAAAAAAATCAAAATTCATAAAAAAATAACATATTACATACATTAACTAAAAGCATTGTATATCTTTGATGATCGAGTTGCGCAGCTTTTATTGCTAAGTCTCACATCCTAAAATAACAGCCTAACCCATCATACTTTGTATGTAGACATATAACCTATAATAAAATAAAACATATCTTACTTATATGGGATAGATAAAACTTTTGGGCATATAAGCATTTTTCTAAAATTCTAATTTTATTTTGGAATGTATTGAATAATGTCATTTCTACCTTTTGAATAATTATAATATAATCTATGCTATATTTAATTTTAAAAATAAGAGTTTCAATTCTATAATTTATTTTTTCATAGGCTTTAAAATATGTACGAGACTGAATGATTTAAACTGACCTAAATTTTGATAGAATGATATTTTTTCATATTGTTGAATTGTATTGTCTTAACTATAAGTTAAGTGATATTCTCAAAATAAGTTAAAAAATTCCAAGCAAAATACTTTGAAGATGCGAAATTTGAAAATTACTCTGAAATTTGTATTTTATTAAATTTTTTTTTGGTTTTGGGTCATTATAAAATATTTGACTTCAATTTTATAAATTTTAAATTTTCATTCATTTTGTTGAAGTCGTAGGAGATAAAACTTTATATGTGTTACTTTTAAAACTCAAAAAAGAGTATTTATCCCCATCAATATCTGCAACACAAGCTTTTAGGGTTTGGGTTTAGGGTTTAGGGTTTAGGGTTAGGGTTTAGGGTTCAGGGTTCAGGGTTCAGGGTTTTTAGGGTTCATGTTTAAGGGTTTTTAGGGTTTAGGGTTTAGGGTTTAGGGTATAGGGTTTTAGGGTTTTAGGGTTTAGGGTTTAGGGTTTAGG